ACAGCTGTGAGTCAGGATAATAACATACACGGCAGTAATATGTTATTATCATAACTTATTTCTACATGACGGTAATAAAGTATCTGAAAGAGAAATGAAGAAAGCTAGCTGGTTTACTACAGCTATGATATTGTGACAGTTTTAAAGGTCTGTTGCTGCAGCTCCATAAGCTTGGGAAGTCACCATTATTAAACTAAGTAACTGTTACCAGTTTACAAAGCCCATAGCTATGGGTGTGGCCATTCAATTGAGGCTTGTTATTTCACTATTTTAGATTAGTTTCCATCAGAAGTAATGTATAATTGTACTGAAGCAAAAATTACAAAAAGAAGTTCAAAATTTTTATTAAATTATTTTTTACATTTGTAAAAAAATTTAAAAAATTTTAACTTAAAAAGTCACATCTCCAGAATTAAACAAAAATTGGCATTTATGTGAATACAAAAAGGTTAAATATACTTAACTTGTAAATGCTCCATCTCATACTGACTAAATAAGACATTTCCTATAAGAATAAGAAATTAAATAAAAGATATCACAAGTTAACAATAAATAGATTTTCAATTGAGAACATCATTTATTTTTATGTTTTTATTAAACAAAATTAACATATTACAAAATAAATCATTTTCCAAATTACACACATAAATAAAAGAAAATACACAAGTTAATAAACAATGCAGATAAACATTACATTATTATTTCTTAAAAGCAGAAAAAGACCTGGTTATTCTCTACAATCTAAACAATTAGATGGGTTAATCCTGCAAAACAAATACCTTACAAAATAATTGATTATAATCTAAGCATTGCACGTATTATACCTTTTTTAAGTTTACTGAATACAAACATTCAGATTTTTAAAAATAGGAACTGGATCACTGGATTAAATTTACTTGTGATCATTGAAATCCCAGCTGTGTTTCCAGGCAGACAGCAGAGGGAGCCATAAGGAACACTCGGGGTAGGGGTTCTGAAGGTATTTCTCTAACAATCATTAGCAATAATTGCTAATATAGCCATCCCTTGGGACTAGTGTGGAACTGGCTCCAGGACCCAGAGCTAAAAATGGCTGAAAATTCTCAGGTCCTTTGAAAAAGTCAAACAGTATATTTGAACTAGCCTACAATGATCCTCAGGTACACTTGAAATCTTCTCCACGTATAACAGTCTTACTTATAACAGCTAGAAAAATGTAAACTGTGGTTATATTGTATGGCTTCCAGGATAGAAATACCCTGAACATACTCGTTATGCACAAATAGATCCTCCACCCCACAGAGCATTTCTGGTCCAAGTTTGTTGAATATTTGGTTGTGGAAACCAAAACGGGGTAACTGGTTATTTATATAATGATCAGCTAGTAAGTTTTATGAAAAGATACTTCAGTCATTTTGTTAGAGAGTGATTCAGTAAGAATAAAGACAGAATTTGCCTTTAATTTTCCATCCTGACTGACCGCCATTGACGGGTGGAGATGAACTGGCAAAAGCAGGTGATAGAGTGCGCTGCTGGAAGCTGCAGCTGAACTGACAGTTGTGTGGCCTTATTTTCACAGACTTTCCCTTAATCACAGAATGTTTCATAAAATTCAATTTTTGTCATGGGAGACTCAAATATAAAATGCAACATAAGGAATGGAGAAAGCAATATATGCTATGAAATACTATGTATTGATAATTCATTTTTAACATAGTAGCAATGAAAAATCTACGGGTTATATTTCTGCTTATTCCAATGAAGATGCTTGGTAATATTAAATATTATATTATTATTCTTAGAATTTATCCTGAAAAATACAAGATTATTATTCTAACTTTCTATGGCCCAATAATTCTCTGATCAAAAGGAAATTTAAATTTTACAAGGTTAGTATTTCTCTTCAAAAAGATTTTATTCCAAAAGCATTGCTTGGAAAATAAGTTAAACTTCTCTGTGTGTGTGTCTGCAAATATTCATAAGTAACTGTGAGAGTAAATGTGACATGGGGTGGGTGTCCATGTCAGGGAACCACCCTGTATGTTGATCCTTGCCTTCCACCGTTTTTGAGTCAGAATCTTGCTTGCTGCTGTGCACAGCAGGCTAGCTGGCTCCCACACTCTTGGGCTCTATCTTGTCTACACTGCTCAGCTCTGCAGGAGGGGTGGAGTAGAACATGGATGCTAGCGAGCTCACCTCTATGTGAGTTATGGGTGTTTACATCCCAGCCCTCAGGCTTGCACTCATCAGTCTCCCTTGCCCTAAAAGATGTTTCCTCTCTGCTGGGTTTTAAGGTCAATTCCAGAACTCATCTGTTTCTGAATGTCTTTATGCTCTGGAGATTGGCATGTGTTATTTGTTAAAATGACTCAACTGACTCTCTCAGTAGAGCTAATAAATAGCATCTGTGTAAAACTAGCTAGACTAGCTGGTTTTTCTATTATAATTATAAATATTGAAACCAATCAGAAGAGATGGAGATGGACATTTCATACTCATAACAGGAACAATTCATCAGGAAGAAATCTCAATCCTTAATATCTATGCCCCTAATATAAAGGCACCCACATATGTAAAAGAAACACTTCTAGAACTCAAGGCAGTCATCAAACCACACACACTAGTAGTAGGAGACTTCAACACTCCTCTCTCACCAATGGACAGGTCAGTCAGACAGAAATCTAACAGAGAAAAAAGAGAATTATTGGAGGTAATGAATCAAATGGACTTAACAGACATCTATAGAACACTCCACCCAAATAGGAAAGAATATACCTTCTCCTCTGCAGCTCATGGAACCTTCTCGAAAACTGATCACATACTTGGTAACAAAGCAAACTTCCACAGATACAAAAAAATATTAGTAACCACCTGTGTCTTGTCAGATCACCATGGATTAAAGTTAGAATTCAACAACAATGCTACCCCCAGGAAGCCAACAAACTCATGGAAGTTGAACAGTCAACTACTGAATCATCCCTGGGTCAAGGAAGAAATAAAGAAAGAAATTAAACTCTTCCTTGAATTTAATGAAAATAAAGACACAACATACTCAAACCTATGGGACACTATGAAAGCAGTGCTAAGAGGAAAGTTCATAGCACTAAGTGCCCAATTAAAGAAAACGGAGAAAGCACACATTGGAGACTTAACAGCACACTTGAAAGCTCTAGAAAAAAAAGAAGCTGATTCACCCAGGAGGAGTAGAAGCCTGGAAATAATCAAACTGAGGGCTGAAATCAACAAAATAGAAACACAGAAAACAATTCAAAGAATCAATGAAGCAAAAAGCTGGTTCTTGGAGAAAATCAACAAGATCGACAAACCCCTATCCAAACTAATCAAACGGCAGAGAGAGAACATGCAAATTAATAAGATCAGAAATGAAAAGGGGGACATAACCACAGACACAGAGGAAATTCAGAGAATCATTAGCTCTTACTACGAAAGTTTATATGCCACAAAGTTGGAAAATTTAAAAGAAATGGACATTTTTTTAGATAAGTACCATATACCAAAGTTGAACCAAGAACAGGTGAACAATCTAAAAAGACCTGTTAGTCGTGAAGAATTAGAAGCTGTTATCAAAAATCTCCCTACCAAAAAAAGCCCAGGACCAGATGGTTTCAATGCAGAATTCTACCAGAACTTCCAGGAAGAACTAATACCTATACTCCTTAATGTATCCCACAATATAGAAACAGAAGAGTCATTGCCAAACTCCTTTTATGAAGCTACAGTTACACTGATACCAAAACCACACAAAGACACAACCAAGAAAGAGAATTACAGGCCAATCTCATTCATGAACATCGACGCAAAAATTCTCAATAAAATACTGGCAAACCGAATCCAAGAACACATTAGAAAAATTATCCATTATGATCAAGTAGGTTTCATCCCAGAGATGCAGGGCTGGTTCAACATACGCAATTCAGTAGATTTTTTAAAATTATTTTTCATTTTTATAATAATTTCTTTTAAGCATAAGGTATCAATTTGTAACCATATGACAGCTATGGATCACTGATATTTTCTTTTTAACTTTAATAGACACTGTAAAAGACTTTTTCAAAAAATATGGTGTTACCTTAAAAATCATTTTTATCTATCTTGACTTTTGCAGTTATAAGTAAATTTTCTATATTATTTATAGTAAAATAGAAGTAAAAGGAATAAAATTTTAATTTAACATTATACTTTCATAGTCAATTCAGTAGTCTCTGGTGAACATTTAATTTTAACATATGAATAATAAAATGAGACCTAGAAAGACTGACAAGATGCCCTAAAAATAGAGTACCTGAATGTCAGAAACCTTATGATGACTGAGAAACAATGTTTTTTTTTGTTTTTGTTTTTTTTATAACATAGAAGCAGTTGCTACCATTTACTAAGCTACATCCTAATGTTTCTAGTCTTTTATACAGCAGAGCAAACCAGGAGCATTAAACAGACAAATGCACTCCACACTGTCTCCCGAGTCTTCAAGTGATGACCCCATGAATGCTCTGAACAAAGCCTGTCTTGTCCCTGAACCAAAGAATGAACAAAGAAAATGTGTGCATTTACACACTGGAGTGCTACACAGCAGAAAAGTAATAATGACATCTTGAAATTTGCAGGCAAATGGGTGGACCTAGAAACATAACCTTGAGTGAGGTAACCCAGACCCAGATATACAAATAAATAGGTACTCAGTCATAAATGGCTTTTAGACATAAAATAAAGAAAAATCAGCCTACAATCACAATCCCAGAGAACTTAAACAACAAAGAGAACCCTAAGAGAGACATACATGGATCTAATCTACATGGGAAGTAGAAAAAGACAAGATTTCCTGAGTAAATCGGGAGCATGGGGATCATGGGAGAGGGTAGGGGAGGGGAGGAAGAAAGTGAAGTGGAGAAAAATATATAGCTCAATAAAATCAATTTTAAAAAAGAACATGGCTAACAGTCAGAATAGAAAATATAATAAAATAAAGTAGCCTGTAATTTAAACAAGTTTTTGCTCACAAGAAACTTGACAAGTGTATTTGATCACTAGGGGAAGCCAGTCAGAAACTGAATATGAACAAATCTCAGAACCAGCAAAGAGTTCAGAAATGATGCATATCCATCTACTGTCTTTTTGTTCTGTAGTTCTGTGGTTAGATGTACCTAACATGTCCATACTACTGTCTTTGGACTAAGAATACAAGTACAGCTTACCTGCATGTTAGCTAGTTTATAAATGCAAGCATTTTCTCTACTGTGAAACAGAAACCTAAAGGGCCATCCCATTTAAACTTCAACTGAAGTTGGGAATTCAGAAAAACATGCCATAAAGAATGTTACCACATGACATCTCTCATGGGAAGTATTCTTTGTATGGTACTGTCCATTGTAGGACAAGTAATATCTTCTTTTAAAAATAAAAATGAAGTAACTGATAAAGGGAACAGTAGTCAAATGCACATTGAGTTTGACAGTTTTCTTTTCATAAACAAAACATAGGATGTTTACTGAAGCTAGGCAATTTGAAAAACTATAATATACATTACGAAGCAGGCAACTGTTGATCTAACACGTATGTCATTCTTTCCTTACTGTATTTTTCTGACCATTTCCGAGTTAGTTCTAGGTAATAACTTGGCTTATGAGGTCGGTAATCCAAGTATACTGTGTTAGTGGTTCTCTTGGGGACAGCATTTTCAATCTGCGTTCCTTCATGCCACTCATTGAAAGAGGTGACGGAGATTACACTGGGGTGGGTCTGGAGTGCAGTGCTTAGACCGACTTCATAATACTTCCCGTTGATGCGGTTCCTAGTGTTCTGAGAGTTCCACGGACGAATGTTTGTATCGATGTATCCTGGGCCAACACTTGGGATAAACATCAAATTGTTCTCATCGCAAAATGACTTCAGGTTAGCCCAGTTCTGATGTGATGAGCCATACGTAAAGCCATTGGTGGCAAAATAGGTGTAAATTCCATCAAAACCACTTTGAAGAATATCGTTTTTATGCTTTTCTTCTACGAGAAGTGCAATAAACAATCCATCATAAGGAGTACTGCGGACACTCTGAGATCCTGAAGGTGTTAACAGATTGGCCCACATTTTAGGTTTTGTAATATAGGAATCATAGACATAAAACATAGGCAAAGATTGCCCCGTCCTTGTCTTGTACCTATAAAAGGCTGGATGGTTTCCATATCTACAATAAAGAAACATTGATAGGTGAGAATATGTCACAATAAAATTATGCACTGAACTGACAATGATTAGAGGAGCTTGAGCACATTGTTCCCAATCTTCAGTGAGTCAGTTATGAAACCATAATAATGCTAATGTAATCATACTTTTAATTTCATACATTATGAGACACTGGTATACTATCAAACAGGAGGTTAATTATCTCATGCCAATGTTAACAAATGGTGATTAAAGCTATAAAAGTCCATTATGAACTGCACAAAAGGAAAACCCATTTATCTTATCAATGACAGGTGTCCATTTGTTGCTGAGATAATTCTTTGTAAAATGAAACACCTCAGAGAATCTTACCAGAAAAATACTTTATAAGAATGAAAATAATCATGAAATTCTTTGTTAGTTATTCTAGATACAAATGAAGGCAGATATGCAAACACTGCTATGAAATTAGTTCACATTTCATCTAAACCTTCCTTTAAAAGACAAATGTATATTCATAAGATTTTAAAAACAGAAATGTAAAATGAGCACAAAAGGAAAACATACATAGCTTTTTAAGTATATAAAAATAGCTAAAGTAGCAACTTTTATTCATGCAAAAAGTGAACTGTAAGAAACCTGAGAATGTTCTTTAGCTTACTTGTGGTAAAATTACCAAAAATGACAGATTATAAACCAACTCTCATTACCAGATCATAGAGCATAACATTGAAAAAACTCACTTGTCTATAATATACTTGACATTTTTATGCATGCTTTGATCATCTCGATTGCTATACGGTTCTATATGAAAGGTGACCTAAAAACAAGAAAAAAAATCAATTAAAGAAAGCATTATCTATGAAAGTATAGTTTGCATTGCTAATAAGGGGCCAATTCAACAACATTAAAGAGAGTATTTAGTGAGTTCAATGGTTACTAAATAAATCTTGGTAGATAATACTGACCGAGAGTTTTCACTACTAACCTAAGTGAAGCATCTCATATGCCAGCCTCTGTTACTGTATAAGGTGGCCGTTGACTCAAGTTTTGAAATAAAGAAGTTGGCATGGGTCTAGTAAACTGCCAATAGGCCCCAGTATGTTGGATACAATGTGTGGTAGCTACCTACACATATCAGTTTACATAATCAAGCTGAACAAATTATGCCTAATAAACAGGTTGGCTCTGTATACTATCTCTAACTAGTAAGATTAACAGCATAGGGAATAATGTAACATAAAAGATAATCATAAAAAGTATTCTTAAATTCACTGAGTTATCCATATCAAGTTCATTTTATTGGTAATCTAATAAAATTATTGTTTGAATCTTATATTTTAAGTGAGACTGCCTGTTTGACAAGACTTTTAGAGTACTGCAGCTTAATTCTTTTTTTAATTACCCAATTAAAGCACAATGTATTTTCATTAGTTAATTTTCATAGAATTATTTTTAAAGTCAGGTCATTTAGCAAATCAATCATTCTCTACTTATAAGAGTGTAATGATGTAAGGTGTTGACAATAACAAACTCAAGTCAAGACATCCTTACAATCTGCTTTCAAAGCTGCAGCCATAACTGATCAGCTTCTTCCATCAAGTGGAGATCTACATATTGCAAACTCAAAGTTATAACTTCTCAACTAATTAACTAATTTTATATTTTATTTTAATTAATAACAGAATTTTTCACTATTTCTAACTCTTCAGAAAAATATTACACTAACATTAAAATTAATTTTAAATGACAGAATAAGATACATAAAATTAAATTTGTGTGCATGACTTTTAGAGAATGTGAATCATGTAAGAATTCCATTTCACACTTCTAATTTTGTATTTACCTAAACTCTCTGAACCCCGTAGCCAAACCACTTTTTCTTTAATTCCCCCATCCCTTGACTTCACTGGGTACCCTTTATGTCATACGCAAGTGAGGCATTCCTCCTATATAACCGGTAATGTCAAGTATTAGTAATTTTCTCTTTTTATAACTTGTGCAGACTGCAAATTTGCTATATAGGAGACAAATTCTGTTTCTTTCTTTTCAGTTTTGATATGGTTGGTTTTGTAGTCCCCAATCCTTTTGCCTCTACCTTCCACCTAACATTACAGGTTTGTACAAACATATCCAGTTCTCTTTCTTAATACTGCTCATACGTAGAACAGAATCTGCTGTGGAGTAGACACTGCATGAGTATCTGCAAGCATGAATTAATGACTTCAATGGATACTAAATAGTCAAATTAAACTCTAGGTGGTCTACTTACACACCATTAGGTAAGATTTGCCACGTTCTCACTGTGAATGTATACGACTCATTTAAGAAACAACTGATTAAAAGCCATTATTATTAGACAAATGATTTACACAAAGGTTAAAGAACTTGTTACTTCAAAATAAAATGTTAAATGTATAGAAATACAAAGTACTCAACAACTGGGGTGTGTCTTTGGTTTCCTTGGGATCTGATGTGATGATGGTGTATAACAAACACTCACAATTTTATTGATGCACATAAACTCTATTGGTTACTATAATGGATGTGTTCTAGGCTGTGGATCAAGTTTAAATAAGTTCCACAGTTTTAGTCATTTGGATTCTAGGGAAGGGTGGAGTTTCTTCTTATACTAAAACAAACAAGGAAACAAACACATAGAAGTACAACCATGAAGCATGTGGCATACATTGTATTTTCTGACAATTCATTAGCCCAAGCAGGCCAGGCAGAAAACCTATCATCTACTGGACAGGAAATATTCACACTTTCTAAGAAGGACAAGGGAATGGCCTGTGCTCAACAGTGGCAGTGTCTACCAATCAGCTCCTCCACATCTATAAATGCTGTTTCAATGGTTGTTTTCTCAGGATGTTACCCAGAGAAGACATGGTAAACTGAAAGCATCCAGCTGTGATCCTTATAACTGTGGCTTCAGTACTCTCTGGTACTGAATTACAGTTACAAGGCTTCAAGGGTCTGCTCCAAAGAATGACACAAGCATACACAAAAAATTACCTTTGAAAAAAGTAGTCACCATTTAGATTTAGATTTTACTGATTTATATTTGGGAAAACTGTCAACACGTGCAAACTTATGCAAAAGAAGTCACTAATTCTTCAAATATGTTTTATTAACTGTGTTTCTTCAATTATAATTAAAAACATGACTTTTAGTTTAAAATAATCAAAACTGCAGATACAAAGTATTTAGTGACTAAAGCTATTATGTACTCAAACTAATAGGCTATAACAAAAGCTTAACTGTAAGGCAAAGCTAGAACCTAGAACCTCTATTTCTAAACAAGTAATAACAAAAGTGAAACTAAATACTTTTTAAATTCTAAACAGAGAGAACCGTAAAATCAAACCAACCAAAAATAAATAAATACATAAAACAGAAATGTATTTGTAGAAGGTAATGTCACATTAATATAGTATAATTATTAAACTATTTTCAAAATAATTCTGGTAATTTGAAGAGCTACTGAGAGTAAACAATCTGTATTCAGCTTTGGGGAAACATGAATACTTGCAAGAAAAAATGGAGAAGAGTATTTTATCAAATTCCATATCTTCTGGTCATTAAATGTTAAATCTAAAGAATGTATGTTGCTCATGTTTAGAGAGACAATGATTGGCCTAGGTCTTCCTTACTTTCCTCTTCCATATAAGAGCTTTCAGTAGAATTAAAAGCAGTCTATTTTTATGTATCATGATATTTTAACTACTTTATCTTTAAGAACCTCAAAAACTGAAAATGTCCAGTTTCATTACTGTCCACAACAGAACTGGGGCACAGACTGGACAGATCAGGGGCCTTGGATTTCTTTTGAGAAAAAAATAAATCAATGTCTCAATCAACCTCAGTTGCAGTTCCAGACTTGAATATGTGACAACTGCAGATTCCAAATGCCGATGAGAATTCACTGAATGGCACTGTGGAGAATGTCAGTGGTAGCTCCTGTCAATTCATTTGAGAGATACTATCAAGACTTTCTTTAGGGCTACGGAAATATTCAAGTTAGCTTTATATATATATATATATATTAAAAATAGAAATTACAAAAGAAAATCCTTCCTCCCCCTAATTTTGATCCATAAAAGAAAAGAGAAAAGATAAATTTCCAGAAGCAAAGACAGAAAGAAAATTTTTTAAAGGTCAGACTAACAAGACTGCATAAAACAGGTGGTGGGAAGTCTCTGCCTCTACCCTAAGATATCACATAGTATGTTGGATCAAGAGGGAGAAGGTACAAGCAGTTAAATATATTGCTAGGAAGCATAGAAAACAGTACATACCCATGTCTCCAAACTCCAACCCCAAGAGAGGAGACCAAGAGAACCTCAGAACCCCTCATGGGAGTTCATCTGATCTAAAGCTCTGTGGAATAAACAAAGTCATATTAAGACCACTGACACAGACAGGCAGAGCCTCAGCAGGACGAAAATTATTCGCTGCAAAATGATACAGGAATAGGGCGGATAGGCAACCCTGAAATCTAGGCAAGGTTAGTGAGATCACCAATTACACTTGGAAAAAGGGAACTGCCTAGGCAGGAACACCCCACCCATGTCAAAGTTCAGAAATCATCTAAGGAAGGGTGAACTTTGCTTCTGAAACCAGGCAGAAATTCAACCCCACAGGCAAACTTGTGGGTCACCACTGAGACTCTGCATAGTCAGATCTGAACTGCACAGAAAAGTAAACACCTCTCTCAGCAGCAATGCTAATTTAATAAGACTTCTCAGGCAGGAGGGAACTTTTCCTGATGTACTAATCATGGAAGAAATTTAAACTGGTATTTTTATTTAATTTTAATTATTTGTAAATCTTCATTCTCGCATAAGTATTTGTTTTTATTTCTTATACTGCTCTATTACATTTAACACTATTTCCATTGTGTCCTCTCAAGTATTTCTCTAACTTTCAGCCCATATACTTTGTCTCTCATTTCTATTTCATATCATCTTGATCTCTCTCCCAGCCCATCCTCTACAGACTCCTAAATCCAATTTTTTAATGTCAACAATCTTTAGGGTCTGATTTCCCTAACACTTTCCCAATTCTTCTCTTCTATTTACTATTTTATTTGAGTTCCTGGTGACACTCAATTTACTGTCTTCCCATACCTACAGTTAGTAGGTGATATATCAGCAAATATTAACTTCTTCCTTTATTTCTTAGTGGTCATTAGACTTAAGGGAGACAGCTGTTTTTAACTATTACTGAGTTTCCATAGTAGGTCTTCCCATCAGTGGTGTTTCTCCTCAAATACTCTATTGGAGTTGAGCTGGATATTATACTTGATGTCTCCCTGAGGAAGTGAGCTGTAAGTCTAATACATGACATAGAAGGTGAAGACATATTAACCCTGCTATAAGTGAATAGTGGTATAGTATTTGTGTTCTAATAAACAAAGCTTGCCTGATGATCGGTGCAAAGCAGCTGCACTACTCAGCCATATAGGCCAGGCAGTGATTGCAAACACCTTTAATCCCATACTAGTTAGTCATTGAGGCAGGGTGGTGATGGTGTGCACTTTTAATCCCAGCCCTAGAGAGTGATATAAAACAGGAAGAGTCAGGTTTCAGTCTCAGTCTCAATCTGAGAATTCAGGGAGGCAGGATCACCCATTTTTGGTCTGAGGTAGATGTAAGAGACAGTGGCTGGCTACTTTGCTTTTCTGATCTTCAGGCTGAACCCCAATATCTGTCTCTGTGTTTATATTATTTGTGCTACACAAACTAGTCCCAGGAGAAAACTGCCAAAAGAATTTCTAATTTCAACACAAGAAATATAGGAAATATAATAAAAATCCACAATGACCAAATATTAGATATGCAAATATTAACAAAGAAATAATGATCAGGAAAGTAAAGGAAACAGGACTCCTCCCAAAATTACCAATTCAACAGTAATAAGTTTCCCAAAAATGATAACCAGACTGAAATACCAGACAAAGAATTTAAGAGGATGATACAAAAGAAGATTGAGCAAGTTCTAAAAGGACATGAATTCCCTATGGTAGGATACCTTGCTCAGCTTTAATATAAGGTGGCAGGGGCTTGGTCCTGACTCAACTTGATATACAGGACTTTGTTGCCACCTTAAGGAAGGCCTTAACTCCTCTAAGTTGTGGATGGGGACAGGATGGAGAAAACCAAGCAGGTGGAAGGAAAGGAGAGAGGGGGAACTGAGGTTAGTATGTAAAAATCAAAAAAAAATTTAAATAAAAAAGAATATAAATGAGCACCTAGATAAAAAAAGGTAATCAATGCATGAAATGAAACAAATTTAATACGGATAAAGAAATACTTAAAAAGTCAAATGAAAATCTGGGAAAAGCTAACTGAAAAATTCAGTGTTAAACTGTTGCTGAAGATAACACTTGCATAATTCACTGAACCTGGAAATGTTGACCTTGTGGCTCCTTCACCCTCAGTGTTCATGGGACTAGATGGTACTCTACACACTACCAGAGAAGAAAATTAAAAACCAACCCAGATACAAACCCTGAGATCTACAATGGTGACCACCTGCAAGATACACTAATGTAATAATGACACAAGCATTGTAGGAGTAACCAACCACTCTCATTTGAGGTCCACTCCAAGAGTTGGTAGCCATGCATAGCCCTGTTAGGTAGCCCAGAGCCTGAGACTGGATAGGCCAGAGGTCTAGAGGAAAACCACGGACTACTGTTGTGCTATAAGGAGTATAGGTTTCTAACAAGATTTTGCTATATTATCCACAGATCAGTAGATATCATCATCAAAGAAGTTTCCTCTTGTAGTAGATGGAAATATACAGAGATCCATAACTTGATAATGTACAAAGAGTAAGAAACTGTAACACTCAGTACTAAATGGAATATATCAAACCCCTCCTCTCAGAGTTCATAAAAGGAGATGAAAGACTGTAAGAACCAGAAAGGATGAATGACTCCAAGGAAACATTTCTAGACATAATAGGTAGGGTGTACATATGAATTCACAGAAAATATGGAAATCACTCACTGTTCCTGCACAAGTTCAAGTAGACTGGATCTCAGCGCTGAGTGGTGTAAGTGGATGTGAGCTATGTGAGTTCCTACACCTATCCAAGAAGTTATCTGCACTGACATCCACTTGCAAAGGAAGAAAGTATATCGCAATGGGTATATTGACCATGCTTCAGGATGGCCCAATGCCCTGCAGTAGATGGTCAATACAAAACAAACTCAAAGCTCCTTTTATAGGCTTTTCATCTCATCTCATACTGTTCTAAGTGGGCAATATTTGTCCCATTGGTCATCAGTGTGCATATTATGGTTTCTGTTTGTGTGTTTATGTATGCAGGCTTCTTGATTTTGTTTATTAGTTTTTCTTTTGTGCTTGATTTTTAAAAGAGAAAGGACACGGAGTTGGGGAGGTGAGTAGAATCTGGGAGGAGTGGGGAGGGAAAAGCATGATCAAAATATACTGCGTGAAAAATTTTTTTCAATTAAAAAATATAATAAAAGAAGATTTAAAAATATCTTTTAAAGATATCGTATAACCCAAAAAGCTTAAAATATTTTATATTTGGCTCATTTTAGAAAATATCTGTCCAACTATTATGTAGATTTTAACAGAAAAATAAAACACAAGAAAGAACTAAACAAAAGAAAAAACCAAATTAGTAGAAACCCTTACCAATGAACAGATCAAGGAAAACACAGAAGACCAAGGCTTGAAGAGAACATAAACAAGAACATTTATGCATCAATAAAGATAAAACAAGAAGAAAGTATAAGCAAAGCAAGTGAGATACACAGAATATAATTAAGTGAGATACATAGGATATAATTAAAAGATCAATTTGCAAATCAAGGACATAGACAAAAGTGAAAAATACTATAAGCTGTGCTCAATAAAACAAAAATGTCAAATTTCCTAAATCTAGGAAGAGATGCAGACATTTCACAATTCAAACAGACAAAACTAGGAAAGAATATGTCACTTAATATTAACCAATATATAGATCAAAGAAGGAGTGTGGAAATGACAAACAGAAAACTTTAGGGCAAACTTCTAAACATATGTTCCAATATTTTGTGTAATTTTGAAGTAATAGATACATTTCTAGGAACATATCCTCCTAAAATTAAAACAAGAAGATATAAATGTCATTAACAGAACTACACACACAATAAGATTGAAGGAATACCTAAAAATCTTCCAATTAAATTTTTTGAAAAGCCCAACCCCAGATGTATTCATGGTTGAAAACCATTAGACGTTACAGATCTAGCCCCAATCTTTCCCAAATTATTCCATAAGATAGAAAGGGAAAAAATGCTACAAAGCCCATTTTATGAATCCAGTATCACATTGATATTCAAGCAAAATGAAGACACAAGAGAAAAATATAAAAGCCCATTTTCTGTTGAATATGAATGCAAATATTCTCAATAAAATATGAACAAATCAAATTGTACAATACTCAAAAGATCACTCTCACGATGAAGTTGACTTCATTCCAAGAAGGCAAGGATGGTTCAAACCATTCAAATCAACGAAGGTTAGAAATTCAATAACTAAGTTCAAGGATCGAAATAAACAGATATAGAAAAAGCCCAACATTTTTTCATGACACAGGCAAATAAGAAAAAGAATCCCCCAAACCGTAGGAAGAAAAAGTACCCACTTCAACATAATATGGCATATTTATACTCAACAACCCACTAAATGGAAAAGATCCAAAGCATCACCATAAAAACCATGAATGAAACAAGGGTGTCAACTCTTTTTTTCCATGCTGAAGTCAATAGAGAACTTTAACTCTTAGTTATAGAAATAAGATAAAAGACAGATATAAGAGATACAAAAGTGAAAGATTTATACTATTTGAAGAGAAACTAGAGCTGGGCAGTGGTGTAACAAGCCTTTAATCCCAGTACTCAGGAGGTAGAGGCAGGGAGATCTTTATGAGTTCAAGGCCAGTCCTGTCTATGGAGTGAGTAAGGTTTAGGACAGCCAAGGTTACACAAAGAAAGCCTATATTGACAAACAAAACAAAGGAAGACAGACATAAACAACTGAGAACTAATTTTTAAAAATGTTGAACTATTGACAAATATTCTTCCACTCTTCCTTATTCTCCACCCCAAAACTTGACTATCCCATTTTACTTATGAAGACACCACAAACCTTAGTTGTAAAATATAAAGAAATCAAGTTGGTACTAATCTGGAAGCTTTGTTCTTACGAGAGAGCTTTAATGGTGCCGAGAGCTGCTATGCACACTACTGGTTGACACAAGAACCTCACCCCGCTATAAATCCTGTGAGTTACAATAACCAGCCTGAAAACACACAACCAATGGTGAAACAGTAGCATAAATGTCATGAGAGAAACTACTACCTTTTGATTTAAGGCCCACATTTAATTTAAGATTAACCCTATATCTAGAATGTTTATGTAGCCAAGAACCTATGGCTAAATAGGTTATAGGTCCTAGAGGAGAACTTACTACTATTATTCTGCTAAATGGACATAGTATTAAGCTAAACTAGTGATTTACTGTTATACCCATAGATTAGTTCATCACTCAACCCACAGAGATATTTGTTTCTGCAGTACAGAGTGAACCAAACTCCAGTGAAAGTCCAAATATCCAAGAATATATGGACAGCACAAACTGGACGTAATGGGAAGATGAGAGAGAGAGAGAGAGAGAGAGAGAGAGAGAGAGAGAGAGAGACAGAGAGAGAGACAGAGACAGAGAGGTAAGAGGGGGTGGATCTCACAGGAGATATTGTAACTATGAACAAAAAGCACCTGTATAAATTTCTCAAAGATTTAATTTAAAATTTCAAAACTAAAAATTATTTGGACAGAAATTTATTTTCTAACCATTTTTTAAAGACATAAAGTTATATAGTTAAACATAGTCGCTTTCGACATTTAGAGCATATTCAGATACAAACTTCACTAATTTCTAATAGTCTGTTTGCAAAGGAATCTGTAAAACCTCTCTCTTTCTAATAAACACAGATAAATGGGCGTATGTGTTTAATCACAGCACCTTAGAGGCAGAGACAGGAGGATTACTGTGAGTTCAACATCAATCTGGTCTACATAACAAACTCCAAGACACTCAGAGCTACATAGTGAGTCCCTGTTTAAAAGAAGATACAAAATGATACAGATGAATATAACACATAGTTAGAAAAAAAACAGCAAGGGGTATCTTATAATTGGAAAAGCCTTAGAATTTCAATTATTAAAACAAACTTTTTTTAGAATACCTCTGTTGCATAAAACAAACTTCTATGAAGTAATATTTTAAAACATTTCTACATGTATAAAATTTTAATTAAAATGAGTAATTAATATAGTATTTCTATCAAGAGGGTAAGAAGATTAACAATGATAAAAATAGTTTGAAAACAAATTAAATACCTTCAGGTTATATTTATGAGCTTTATCCATAATTGTTGGTACCAAGTGATCAGTAGCTTCTCCATTCTCATCACTTGAATCAGGTGGGTACCAAGAAAGGGCCAGTACTCCTAAAAGTAAAGCATAACAAAGAATAAAAAGCAACATGAGTGATTGCAGGTTTCAAAAGTGGCCATATGAGTTCCAAGCACATTCAAAGGGTATTACAGTAATTTGGTTACTTCATCCAATATTTATGAACTATTTTAAGTAACTGATATCTTTTCAAATTAACATACTATATATTTTAAAATAATTAAGTCTCTCAGCAAGAAAGCAGGTAGTCCTTCTAAACTGTCTCCTACAGGCCACAACCTTCTCCTCCAGTTATTCACATTCACATTATTATTTGCAGTATTTACTCTGTTTGATGGATAGTACCATCATATTATTGTTAACTAACGATCACAGTTTTTGCTAATGTCCAGCTGTCCTGTGGATTTTAACGAAACCGTAAGTTCAGAAAGACTGAATTACTATAAACATTAGGTCCCCACCTATGTAGCCCTCCTCCGGGTTTACTCCCAGCAGTAACTGATTTTTCACCCTCTATAATTTTGCCTTTGCCAGAAAGTCATAGAGCTGGAATCATAAAACATGTAGCGCTCTACAACTGGATCCATTTGCTTGATGACTTGTATTCTAGGTCTTTCATGATGTTTCGTGACAGTCATAGTTTTCTACTGCTGCACATCCACGGGGTGGATATTTATCTATGTTTCTATTAAAGGACATGTTAGCTGCTTTTATATTCTGGCAACTATGAATAAAACTTCTATAACCACCCATATGCTAGGTTTTTATTTTTAAATACATAAATATAATTTAACTGGAGATTTAATACAGGCAAACTGATTGGAATTGTTCTCTATAGTACTCATTTATTTCTGTACTAAGAAATTACACTTTAGGTATTAGAAACACCAGTCTACAGAGAAATTATTAACTACAGTGAACATATTTAAGATAAACACTTCAAACCTCCAAATATAAATAGAGAAATGCAGGACAGTAGAGACAGACAGCATGGATATCTCAACTAATCAATATTTTTTTTTTACAAAGGGAAAGAAATAATAATGTTACATAAAGGAAAGCTTGTAGAATTAAGAAATCAAAGCAGAAAAAATTCTACCATGGATGGGGGCAGGGCTAATCCAGTGTCACCATTAGCTGAGGAACTATTGACAACCTGAAGGTTGTTAGTGGAGCAAAATTCAGTTTTCTGCAGGGATGTGGTCCCTAAGAGGTGACCCATGTTTCAGGATATGGCCTTATCATGCACATAGAAGTTGCACTAATTGGACTCAGTAGGTTTATAAAAAGAGCACGTAAGTTTGAAAATGAAAAGTGATGGTGGCTGGGGGGCTGGGGAAGAACTGGAGGGGAGAGAATGGGGGACTAGATGTGATTAATACATAGTAAATGCATGGATGAAATTCTTAAACAGCAAAGAATAAGAAGCTGCCGGAGACCTAGATTTTAACACTTAATTTTTTTCATAGTTTTAATAGTAGAGAAGAATTGAAGCTGGAGGAAAAAAGTGGCCCCTTCATTAAAGCTAATGGGGGAAAAGGCTATCTTTGTCTGCTATCCACAGATAGCAAAAAAGCAAAACATTTAACAGAACAAAGAACTAATAGTGGATAGGGATCCAGGGATGTTATGACTATTGAAGAAGGGAGTTGCACCTAGATAATGATGTTGGTGAGAACAAAAGTTGGGAGAAAACTGGTCAACATTTAAGCAGCCTGCTAATTCAACTCGTAACAGCATCAAGAGCAATAAACATTTTCTGAGCATACAGCCCAGGAAACAAATTTCCTTCTCAGAAAAAGCAATGAAAATAAACACACATAAGGGAAACAACCCATATCAAAAAGCCACAACACACACAAAAATTATAAAGAATGAATTTTTCCATATAATTCAAACCATAATTCTATTTCTAATAATTTTTAACAGCTATTGATCTAATAGCATAGACCAACAAGCATGGGCAAGAAGAAATGCCATGAAAACAAAGACCTACTTAATAATAAGAAGGTACTAGCCAAGTGACTAAGCTAGTTATGACAGTGATCCCGGAAGTCAGTCTCCTCCAGTGTGCTAGGACAGAAGCAGCTCTAGGAAGCAGTAGCCTGCAGCCTGCCTTTCAGTGCTCACGTGTCTCTGCAGCACTTTCTGCAGATACTTAGGTGAGCCAGCATCAGCATTTCAATGGCAAAGACAAAGCAAAGTCACTCAGGAAGCTCTCTTCTTCTTGAGCTCAAAAGCATGTTTCAGAGAATAATGAATAAAATACAAGCAAACACAATAAAGAAATCTAAGGAAATAAAGCATCAGGCTTTACAAATGGAACTCCAAAGACAACAGACCTGGCTATGTAGAACCCTCAAATCCTGGCTCTAGAGACTCTACATTTCTCAGACAGCAGCAGATAATATACTGTCATTGGTAAGATTTTAGGACTAAAGATATATAATCTGAAATCATACAAAGAACAGAGAAAGATGAGGGGTATGGGTGACATAAGAATAACTGACCACTTTTCACCAGTTAAGTTAAATATATATACTGCAATGCTATAGCGATATTAAAAATAAATAAGAATAACTATATGTACTAGGTCAAAAGAGACTGCAAGATTGAAAAACTCACATTAGTGTCAGATAAGGCAAATAAAAAATGAAGAAACAGAACAAATGGAAACACAAAATGGAATATTTAAAACCTCATTACACTCAATAAAAATGAAATTGACACAGAAATTGAAAAGGAGTAGTTAAAGAAATAAAGCCAAACTGTATGCTATAGAAAGGAAAAACAGCTGAAATGCCCAACACATAACTAAAGAAGCAAACACCCTCAATCATATAATGAGATAGAATTATTAGTAACAATGACTAAAACAGACATCTTTAACAACAGGTGAATCACAAAATACTGTGCAGTGCACATTATGACAAGCAAACAGGGTAGCTAAATACATTTTGCTGTCATAGGAAGGAAACAATCACAACTTCACAGTGACAGAAATCAGATACAGTTGCTGTAGTGGGGTCAGGATCAGCAGGAAAGAGGGCAACTGTGATCACAATTTAGCTAGGCAGGGGGAAAGGTCCCGCTGCACAAAAACTCATGACCCTTTTCTTTCAGTTTTCCCAGGGCTACAAGTGCAGCCATGCTCCACCATGCATGGCTTACGTGGAGTGGAGCTGCCTAGCACAAGTCAAGTTCAATGATCAGTACTAGAAAAAACAGACAACAACCAAAAAAAAAAAAAAAAAACAAAGTACTGCTTAATTCAGGGATATGAATTAAGATTGTAATTAATAAAAGCATTAAAAACTGATAAATAACTTAATTGTCCACCCACATTATTTATCTATGTAAATAACATAAACTAATTACCAACCAATCGAGGCTGAGCTGATTTGTCTCATGTGTGTTTCTATGACAGAAGGGTCTCGAGAGCTGTAACTTCCTAACTCTGGATAAAAGTTGGAGCCAATGTCATCTGGTGGAACATGTCTCCCTTGTGGATAGTTCTTGGCTATTCTAGGGTCCCAGTGTTCCAAGACGGGATGATTCCAGTGTATGTATTTGCCATCAAATTGTGGATTTCCATACCAACTGTAATAAAATACGTGTAAAAAATAATTCAGAGGAGGCAGCTTTTCCAGGCTCACTTCAGAGGCTTTGGGTGGCCGCACAGGAATGTCAGTAGCTTTTGAATTCTTCGTATTTCTTTCCATGTTGATTCTATCAGTCTTTTGGAAATCAGCTTTGTTTCCCAAGGGGGCGTTTGGTAGACGAAGTTCTGGAAGAAGGTCAAGCCCAAAAGGAGTTCCAAAGGATGCTGTATTTGGCCGCAGCACCTTTAAGCCCATCATCAGAGAGAAAATAAATAGGATAAAAAGTGACAAAATGATGCAAGTCTTTCTTCGAAATTTTGCCATGTTGACATACTTTAAATTCCAAAATTGTGAATGCTTTGCTGCAATTCATTTTAAAAAAGATGATTAGTAAATAATATTAATGTTTTCTACAGTATTTAAAATGAAAACTAAAATCCATTGACTACATTAAAAAATAAAATATAATAAACCACCAGATACTATTAAAAAACATGCATGCACACATGCACGCCCACAAACACACACACATACACAAGAGATACTGATTTGGAAATAGCCCTATATGCACACCATTAACATTTAGTCAGGTGAAACTCAGGAATCTGCATAATAAAATAAAATACAGTTTTATCATGTGAATAAATTTTGTGTATACAGAATATACAAAGTCAATAATTCATATATCAGGACTATATTTTAAAATGGTAGTTAATGAGAGGAAATACTTAATTGTCCATACTTCTGAGCCTTTTCAGTAAAAACATAAAAACAGTGATAAAGTTTTAAAAAGGGTCCTGAACCTGAAAAAATAATAAAATATTACAAGAAGGGAATAATTATACATTTTCAGCTTTATTTGGGAATGGAATAGAAACAAAATTTTCTAATGACAGTATAAAAATATAAAAGTTAGATACTCTGACAACAACCATTCACCACTGAATGACATGCCCACCCCTCCACTCACAAGTCAGAAACTTAATTCCTAATACAACACTGTTGAGAGGCAGACTCAGTGAGAACTGATGGTTTCGTCTATCATGAATAATGTTATTTTCAAATTTTCATTAAAACTATTAAATTTTAGATTACTGTGTTAGGCTTCCTGATGGCACTTATAAGCGGATGTGTATTTAATGGCCATCCCCTTTTCTGTCCCCCAGACCCTGTTCAAACTCCTTGCATCTTTGCCTTGTATAGCCAGCTTCCTCTTCACTACCATGTGTGCTACTATCCTCGCCTCCTTCTTCAACACCTTTCCACCCTTGAACTTTTCTTTGAAGTTCCGTAACCTATACCACGCTTTCGTGCCTAACATACCCTATAGAGCTGCTTAGAAGAGAGAACATGCTAATTCTCACTTGAGTTATATCATTTGATATCACTTCCAGATACCTCAATTTTCCTGTAAATTTCCTCATTTAATTTTTCTAAAAGGCTTAACAACATTCAGCTGTACATATACATCACATCAGAAGTAAATTAATGCTGCTGCTTGGCGTTTTGCTCTCTTGAGCTCCTCCTATTCAGAGGATAAGCATCTAGACACCACAAGATAGCATCCCTCCCCAGACAGCTGATCCTGCCAAACCTTGATCTCAGACATCCCAGTGTCAGAGCTGTGAGAAACACATTTCCTTTCTATATAAATGATCTAGTGTTCTGAACCTTTTTATAGCAGCAAATAATCGATAACTACACAAAGCAACAGGCAAGAATCTTGTTAAAGTTTGATAGGAAACAAGATAGCCACTTACTGGTGAATATTTCCTCAAAATATACTTAATTCATAAAATGGAAAACATAACAGTAGACAAACTACCAAACACTGTTTTGAACACATAATCAAACTTAATTTAAGGCATTTGACAATGGTTTTCTAGAGAAGTTATACTGAGAATGAAATAATCAGTCTTGTGGAATACTGTTCAAAAGTTAACTTTCTAAAGAAACTCGTAAAAGTATATTAAGGACATACACAAGCAGAAGCATGCACATATATTTGTCCACAGATATATACATATATCCATCCACTATACAAAGTCTGCTCTCTATACCAGAGTTCTGCAACAAGGGTTTAAGTAACCACAGATGGCTACTGACAAATTTACACCTATACCAAACATATACAGAATTTTTTCTTGTCATTATTCTCTAAGCAACACAGAATACTGACTACTTAGACAATACTGATAGTGAGTTTTATCATCTTGAAGTGATTAGAAATATACGGAGGAGATGATTATGTTACATTCAATATCTCATATAAACAATCACCCATGGACTTTGCTTCCCAGGAAAGTCCCAGAACCAATCTCCTCAACCTACTTTATGAATATTGTATACACACACACACACACACACACACACACACACACACACACACACACATATATATATATATATAACACAGGGTAATTATATGCAATAGTATTAATATGATTAAAACTGCAGGAAAAATAAAAGAATTGAATTGTTTATACTATACTACTTTGGTAACATTTTTAATGTTGAAAACATTTTTTTTACAAAGGAAGAAAACAAAAATAAAGACTGCCACTAGGCAAGTATAGGGTAAGTATGAAATTTTAACATAACCTATGCTTACTTCTGGGAAGGAACAATTCAATACAGTTCTTAATGCCAGGAAGTGGAAGCACTGTTGTGAGAAAGTGACAGTCCTATTCACTGGACAGCAATAACGTACAACACGATCACTTTGGTTTGCTGCTATGACTTGCTGCCCTGAAACATCCAAGCTATTGATTTAATAACATATCCTTCCTTTCTTTTGATTAAAGAATGTCATCATTTTGACAGACAAGATGCATAAAAAATATTTTGGGATATGATCTTGACTATATTAACCAAGCACAAAATAAAAATATGTTTAAATCATGTACAATTTCTATCTCTAAGTGAGAAAAAACATAGCAAGCTCTTTTGTCTTCTAAAATTAGAACTCTTTGTTTTCGGTTAAGTATTTCATAAAGTATGAGTAGTACTGAATGTGGAACACACACACATACACACAGAGAACGAGAGAGAATGAATGAATAAGGAAGAGCTGTAAGATTTAGAAGTAACTAAAGAATTAACGTTAGAATTGTTGACTTAGGCTGGTGGAATACATTACTCAAGGTATATAACAGAAACACGGTTGAGTTTGGAATTCGAAAAACATATTAATGATGTGACCCTAGATAACTCACTGAGACTCTTTATCAAGTTTTATCATTTTGTTTTTTGATATAATTTGTTTTGTGAACAATGCAAGGTAATGTTGGCAAAAGAAAATAAAAAAGAAGTGTTTAATTACTGAATATTACTTAAGATTTGAAGTAAATGAGGAAAGAAACATAAAACGAACATTAAAGATTGTGTGTATGTATGTGTGGTTTCTCGTATATTCATTAGATAGATTCATCAATGCATAACCAAAATTTGCATTTATGGACACTGCCTTTGTATCCCTGCCCCCATACTTTTTTCTTATAAATCCAATTCCTTAATCTGTACCTTTATTTCTTGTATTACAGATTGCAAAACCAATTCCATCTTTAGCGATCAACCATGATAGGTACCCAAAGCTTCTTAACAAATCACTTTAATCACTGTGTTTAAAAGTCTGAGCTCTGCCCCTGCTAGGCCGTCTTTCATAGTGCTGGAAGGTGCTATGAAGGTGGCTGGGGTAGTAAAGTTATCAGTGGTCTTACCTGGTATTAATCCCTGCATGCTAGAATACTGATCTGCCAGATATGCCTACTGTGGGTAACCAACTCTAATCTCTCTGGATTAGATTTAAAGCATGCTCTACAGGAATAAGTTCATGTCTGCTATCTGTAAACATGGTCAAAATCCAAGCCTAGATAAGTCAAAGGTTCCAGGAAAGGTTTTGATGGTCAGACTAAATATTTATATATTCATAGATTTATGATGCTCTTGGCTGTACAGAGAAACTTCTTACTGTCATTGATCGTAGTTAATGAAGAGATTCATTACTGATCAAATTGCTGAGAATTATAGAAAGGAAGTGCTTAGTTGGAGCTATATCTCCTTGTCTCTATAACACTGGAACATGGAATGCTGCTAGAGAAGAGCAAAGAGAATGTAAAGCTAGAGGAAAGAGAGAAAAGCTTTGAAATGCTGTCCTCTGGACATAGCCTGGACGCTGCAGCTAGGAACTCAATAGCAGGCATGCTTAACTGCACAAGAACTAGAGAATTACAAACTCCAGCATGAAGCAGTTCACCCAAGGCCCTGAATCTAGCTGAAGACTACTGGGAGTTGATGACTGCATGGAGGAAGAGTCACATTTTCTTCGGGGTGTGGCCACCTCCACACTGCTCACACCACAGAGGATGACCTCACACCCATATGTTCTTGTGCAGCACTAAGTAAAATAATTAATTAGTTATGAGGTCATCAAGTTGGGAGATGGGACTCTGGGATTCTGGAAATCTGGATTGTGGAGGTTAAGATACATTGTAAACATACATAAAACTTTCAAACCATAGGTAAAAATTATTATTTAAAAAAAAATTTAGCTCTGTAGTTACAATAAGTGGGAATTCCGATCTTTGCTTCCCTAGCCCGATGTTTCTATACTTTTCTCCACTGCAGTTCTTTCACTCATGGGATTTTTGTCAGCGTGAAGACTTATTTCCCATCTGATAACGTACCACTAAGCAACTATGAAGCGTGAGCAATTACTTATGATGATAAGGATGAAAAGATGGGTGGCATGACAGCATCCCAGAAGTAGCACATGGTAGATGGATGTGGTGACACACACCTTTAATCCCAGAACCTGTGAAACAGAGGCTGGCAGAACTCTATGAGTTTCCAGGCCACCCTGGAAGTTCCATGCCAGCCAGGGCTATCTAGTGAGGCTCTGTTTCAAAATAAATAAACAAATAGGCTGTTTCAACATACATAATAATATTAATAATAACAACCAGCCCAGCATATGGAACTGAGCATGTCATTCAGGCGTTAGAACATATGCCTAGCATGAACAATTCCTTGGGTTCTAGGTTTGACCCTTAGCCCTGCCGAATACAAACAATAAAGCATATTCTTTATTACCTCTGAAATAATATTCAAGGTGCAAACCAAAGCAGAAATCTGCCTCCTCTTCCTGATTCTTCTCCTAAAGACTCCTGAGTAGAAAGCTCTATTGAGGCAGCAGCGTTTTCCTTTAATGCTGGCATTTCTAACACTGTACACTGTAGTAAACTGTATGTGTACAAGTTTTCTGTTCCATAGAAATGGAGGTTATTTGCACTCTAGCAGATCCCAACAAATATTATGATCACTGTTCACTATTAAGCTTACGTTTTTGGCCCTCCTGTTTCTGACATGGTCATGTGTTTGGGCAGTATGTCTGGTCTGCATATGTACAGTAGTCTATAATAAGCAATACTATAAAAGAAAATTCATGAAAATTCAACAGTTTTAAAGTCCATCTAAACAAATTACTGTCTTAATATCTGTGCCAACACAATGCCTCTGGGCTAAAACAAACACTAAAACACTAAGAGTGCTATAACACCCCCAAAACACTGCTCTCGCAGGAGACAGGCAAAGGAACAGCTTACCTGGTTTTAACTAAAGAAAGGTTTCAGAAGTTCCTTGTGAGAAAACCAAAAAAGACTCTACATTTCAACTGCAGGTGTAGAAGTTCTCAAAAGCAGGAAGCTCAAGGCCCTGGCCAATGACAATATGTCCTCATCAAAGAGAAGTTTGCATGTCCCGGGGTTCTACATCTGGGTCTCCTGAAACTACGTTGTTTTGATGTTTGGTGCTTTAATCTTTTAAAATGATACTTAATGTGGAAGTCTAGAGATTTCTAATAAAAAGTATTATATACTTAAACAGCTAAGAGATCTAAATGATTGTTTCATATTGGTAACTCAGCAACGCCAGTTTCCCTTTTAAAATAACCCAATTACAACGATTCCTCCTGCTTATTCTTCTGTGTTCATACTACGTTCTTCTAATTTTATGCTAGAAGTACCTAGAGACAGACAAAACTAGTGCTCAGAACACACAACGCATCTGAAACTTTTGGAGTCTTGCCCCGGTCAGATTTACTGCAAACTTCATTCAGAAGTCCAGTCAGGCAGAACCTCACTCGTCCCTTTTGATCCTCACAACCATCTAGCGATGGTTACAGGCGATGAACAAAGCAAATGAGGTTTTCCAAGCTTTTGAGCCAACTGGCAAACAGCCAAGAAACCTGCTAACTGAGCACCTAGCAAGGGCAAAACATAGGGCTGGAACTGGGCTCCTGCCTCGGGCCTATGTGGCCTCAATTATATACTACAATGATTTTTGCACCTTGGAAGCTGACGTAGACGAAATGATCAATGGTTCCCTCCCTGAACTGTGGTCCACACTTAGGAAGGCACCTCGTGATCACATACTAGTTACTGAGGAGCAAGAGTCTCAGCTTTCTGTATTTCATAGACTAAAAGTCATAAAACTGAGGTTTCCGTGTCTTACAAACTGCTCTTAAGAGTGCAAGAAAGCATTGCATAGAAGTGATTTAGAAATCTGAATGAGTTTTACCAAAACTTACATTAAATTTGCAATTTTCTTTCAAGGTGCCGCCTAGAGAGTACCGTCCAGTTTCATTTTTTTATTTGTCTTTCTAAGCTCGCACAAACAGATGCACACGAGTGCTCATGTTAGTTAAGTTTTTAGGACTTCTCCATCTTCCCCTCTATTATCCATAGGTCCTTGGCACAAGAAAACGAAAGTTTTAACCGCTTGTACACTCAACTTGTTCCTCCGCAAATGGAAAAGAAACCGGGCACCTTAGTCCAGCGAAGGGAAGTCTAAAGTACCGAGCCAAGCATGTTAAAAGGGAACAGAACAAAGACCTCGGAGAGCGGACTTGTCCCGGCCGCCTTCGGGGCTCCAACTCGGCTGGGAGACGGGCGCCGCGACCGCCCGGGCCCTCCAGACGCACTAGAAAGTTCGGAGCTCTAGGCGGAGGGGTAGGGAACCGCCTGGGGGCAAACTTGCAGCTTGTGGGGTGCCGGGCAGCTGGCCCAGGCCGGGCTCGCACGCGCTGCGGACATTAACCTAGCAGGAAGCTGGCGTCCGGGCCGAGCGGGCTTAGATTCCGAGACGCCGGGGGCGCAGGGTCAAAGGGCGCAGCGGGAAGGAGGCCTGCGATTGGCTGGCGGGCAAACGCGCAGGCGCTAGCTGTGGAGTCCGTGTGGGCCTTAGCTTAGGTGTCCCGCAGCTACTCACCTGGAGCTGGGGTCTGCCACCAGCGGGGACTCACCGACCAAGAGATGGAGTCCTGGTTTCTGCCAGGGAAGACAGCAGAAGCCACCGCCTCCGCCTCGTCCCGCCTCCCAGAAGACAGCGCGGGGCGCGACTCGGGGGCGGGGTTATGCGGGGCGGGGCTCTTCTGGGCGGGGCCCTGCTGGGCGGGGCGGGGCTTTGCGGGGCGGGGCTTCGAGCCTTTAAACCTGCCCGGGAGTCAAGCAGGGGTCAGGGTGGAGGCAGCAGGAAGAGCTATGGAAGGCTAGATTCCCATCAAGATCTCTCACTCTTTAGCCTTTAAGACTAAGCAGTGACACTGGTCAAGTCGTCATGTTGCTTGTATTTATATTTCATTAGATGTTTCCAAAATTTGAAAGCTAAAAATGTCTTTTAGTTTATAAAAGGGTCTTTATTTGCAAGCCCGAAGTGGATCGACAAAGACAGGTGGAAATTACAGGTCTACTAGGAATCGTATGTGTACAGAGACAGTAGAAATAGAGATTAAGTCTGGTGCAAATATAGAAAAGAACTTTTGTAGCAGAGGCTACAGCTGGGATTTGCATCTTACATCAGCCTCAGACACCAAGAGGATTCTGTGTTTTGTTTTGGTTACATCATGGTAACCAGGAAACCTTGACTCAAAGACTGAAACTTGCAGGTGTGAGTATGGGAACAGTCTTGTTAAGTCACCTTTTAAAAAGCTGATACTTTTTAAAGATATATGAAATAATTTAAAGAATAATAATTAAAAAATATGCCCCAGTGCTTACTCCAAAAGCTTGAAACCAAAATTTCTTGTTTTCCTGTCACCATTAGGCAGTATTTTGCTTTTTATTTTCTTGTTCTTCTGAAAATAGGTTTTTTAAAAATCCTGTCTCCCTGGTTTTGCTTGTTATAGAAGTGACATTGCTCTGGGTTTCTATGCTAACATGTTTTGCTACATGTCTGTTTTGAAATTCCTACACATACAAATCATATTGCATCAACTAGTTGACATCTTCCTTGTATAAACTCTCTTTTAGGGGCTGATGAGATGGTTCAGCAGTTCAGAGCACTGACTGCTCTTCCAGAAGACCCGGGTCCAATTCCCAGCGCCCATGTGGCAGCTCATGACTGTCTGTACCCCCAGTTAAATAAAAAATTAATTTGTATGTGAATAACTAAATTTACTTTATGAGTTACAAATACGTTCATTTCATTGTATGCACTTTTGTGGTATCTTGATAACCCAAATCCATAAAGCTTAGTATACTGATTGTTGCACGTAAGAATATTGTTATCACATAATCTTTCATTTACATCAGATACAAAAATGTATAGCCAAATTTTAATAGTGATGTTTTAATGTTAAGTCAAGATAAGAATGTTGTTAGTAAGTCCATTCAACAGGCTACTGAAGGCCATCTTATTGTATCATTTTCAAAATGATCATGAACTATTTTCTTTTGCTTCTAGAACTTTAGTTATGTTTAAGTTTATTTATGAGATATATTAGACACAAATAACTGAACATGAAGAATATAGACAATACCTAATCAACGCTAAGCTTTATGTTCCTATAAATTTTTGCAACCTCATTTTCCTTATTGATGTTATTTGAATTATGTTAGCTAAGATTGGGTCTTTATTCATTTTTATAAGTTTTAGAATAAACCAGCCAAGATCCAGTAAAAAAATTCTGTTTGGATATTTATTGTGTTTTAATGAAATTGAGAATTGAATTTATAGATTTTTTTATATTTTATATTAAATATTTTATATTCTTCCGTGAACATGTTTTGTCTATAGATTTATGTGTGGGTCCAGTATCTTCTGTAATGCTTTTTAATTCATGCTATTAAAGTTTTTCAGCTTTTTATTACAAGGATTTCTCATAATTATTGCAAAATTGGGCATAATTTTCTTTACAGTACATATTATGTGGTTTGATGCTGTGGTAATGGTAAAATGCATGAGACCCCGAGATAAGTTTCAAGCACTGCAAAACAAAATTCCAGCAGATTATTAGTATTATTAGCACAAGAGGATGATCATTTTCTATTTATCACGCTTATGTCCAGAAATGTGCTCACCTTGTGTGGTATGCTTTCCTCCCTGTTATATATCCAGTGTCTGGAGACAACTGTTTCATTTATAAAGGCATTTTTTTCACTTTTTAATTCATCTTGTCATCTTCAATATACATTAACTTGATCTTCAGTGCAATATCTCATAGTCCTAATAACAGCATTGGCATACTGCTCCAAGATTATTTCAATACCATTAAAATTTTATCATGAATTTTAGCTGTGATATGGGTTTTTCTTCACATAGTTAGTTGATCCCGATCATTCAGCTTACTAGGTATCCTATTTCCAATTGTTTAGCATGAATGCTTGCTTAGTTGATCAAATTAATTTTAGCATTTATTGAGATAGTCATAGTTTTATAAAACATTTATGGTTATTAATATTTTCTCTGATGTTGAATGAAAACTATATTTACTTTATAAATATATATTTGTATGCCCACTCTAAAACAGTCATTTATTACTGCCAGGGCAAATCAATTAAAAAGGATTCGCGGGCTGGAGAAATGGCTCAGAGGTTAAGAGCAATGACTGCTCTTCCAAAGTCCTGAGTTCAATTCCCAGCAACCACATGGTGGCCCACAGCCATCTATAATGAGATCTGGTGCCCTCTTTTGGCATACAAGGATACATGGAAGGAATGTTGTTATACATAATAATTAAATTTTTGAAAAAAATAAAAAAATAAAAAGGATTCGCATTGCATCACCTAGTGTTGTAAGAGTGTGCAGTAGTGTTTTAAAAGTGAGTTGAAATTGGAGGTAGTGCCGTATCCTGCAACTCTGACCACTCAGCTCCTCCCCTGCTGAGCCTAGCAAAGTTGAGATGGGTGGATAGAGCCAACATTGCCCATATTCTTTTGCTTCCATATCAGTTTTCAACATTTTTTTAAGATTATGTATTTACTTGTATTTCTGTATCCCTAGTTTCCCTTTTGTTATCATGGATGAAGCGTTCTTATACGGCATATTTTAGTATATTTCAAATATGTGGTGATCATAGTTTCTGTAAAATCTAATTTTCTGTTTCCTGTCACTTTAAGCAGTACAGGATTTTGTTGGTACATTTCTAAATATTAATTCTACAAATCTCTAAAATGAAAGAATAACTAGTGAAGTGATAGTTACTGAAAGTTCTTTTAAAGAAAATTTAAGTGCCTGTGTGCATGTAACCACATGCAGGATACCTGAATGTTTTCATTGTGATCTATTGAGATTTTTGCGCATTTGTCTATCTTTCCTTCCGTCCAGTTTTCTTTTATCATCACATATTTTGTTAATTAAACCTATCGTATTGAAAAAATATACCGTACATTTAATAGATGAGTGACATCAAGAAAACAGAACTCTACATGCATTGATTTAAGTGTAATGTATCAACGGTGGTCAGTCATTGTGGAAGCCATAGAAATGCTATAGAGAGGGCAAGATGAAGGGAAACAGCCCATACATTTTTCTCATTGATTCTTTTCATGTATTAGCCTACCATAATAACCTGCTGGCCTAATACAGTAACCCACAAGCAGCCTTTGATTTCTGCTGTCATTTAATTACCATAATAGTTCCAACACCATAAAATGCCTGTGGTTTCACTTATCCCATCACTGAAACACCAACAACAATTATTTTCCTGTGGGCATTAGGAATAAATAGCCTTTTTATTTTCTACACCTAGCCAAATTCTTGCATTTCAGGTATTGTTTTTCCTCCCTCTTTCAATGAGTCTTATCTATCACCTGAATATATCATGCCCCTCCCCACCTGCCTTTTCCAAGTTCGAGCCACAAAGTATCATTTAAATAACTTGAAGCATTATTGCTCTTCTCATCTGGAAAGCAAACTCACAGATTGCAGGAGCACATGTAGACTAAAGTACAGTGTTCAGGGGAAGGCTAGAATTTTAGGCAGTTACAGCATCCTCTAAAAGGCTTCACATGGGTGTACACTTAGACTCTTTCTCTTCTGTGGCTGAGTTTTCAATACAGTTGATCTGCTCTTAATAACTTCACACTCTCTGCATGCTATGCCTTCTACCGAATTCTAGTTTGTTGTTGTTGTAGAGAAAATCATGATGACTACTTATGTTGAACTTGTTCACTAGTATTTTCTTGGTTTTCTCAGAGTGGAAGCCACTTAGGACTTTCTCCCTAATAAGTGGCAACAAAAACAAAACAAAGCAAAAAGGTAAATCACCAA